TTGCCCGATGCTATCTGGAATACTCCTCAATTGATTCCCAAAAAGATACATGCTCTCTAACTTAGAAAGTTGCCCGATGCTATCTGGAATACTCCCACTCAATTGATTGTCAGAGAGACTTATGCTTTTTAACCTAGAAAGTTGCCTGATGCTATATGAAATACTCCCACTCAATTGATTGCTAAAAAGATTAAGAACTATCAAGGAAGTCATGTTTTGGAGAAATATAGGTATTGGACCTTGGAAAAAGTTAATTGAAAGATCTAAGTGTTGAATATTACGAAGCAATGTAAAATTAATGGGATGGTTGCAAGATGGCAAGTGATGATTTTTGAGACTACAACTTGACAAACTTAACCATGATAGTCAAGGAAGCATGCCAAGTACTTGAAACAAGTTTGATGATGTAAGACTTAAATTTACTCCGCTTATATCAAGAAATGTCAATGAAGTCATGTTTTGGAGAAAAATAGGTATTGGACCATGAAAAGAGTTCTGTGACATATCGAAGTGTTGAATATTTCCAAGCAACGTAAAATTAAGGAGGTGGTTGTGAGATGGTAGGTGAGAATTTTTTAGACTACAATCTGACAGACTCAACCATGATAATGAAGAAAGCATACCAAGTACCTGGAACAAGTTTGATGAGGCATGGCTTAAATTTACTCCACTCATATCAAGTCGTTGCAAAGAGGAGAGACGAGAAATCCACTGAATGTCATCATCAACCTTCAATCCCCCATAATAATACTGAGAAAGATCAAGGACACGAAGCCTTGTAAGATTTCCAAGTTCACCAGGAATTCTTCCTCTAAACTGTGCATAAGAGAGATTTAGGTACCTCAACTGCTTCATCAAGCCAAGGGAGGGTGAAATAAGATTACCACTGAAATTATTGTTGCTCAAGTCCAGGTGTTCTAAGTATCTCAACTTCAGCAAACTTGAACCAACCTCCTTTACATCGTCAATCAAGTACAATTGAGGTCGTTGATTACCAAATACTGATCCCCTAAGTTGAAGCGAGACAACATATCTGTTATTTTTATCATAGCCTACTCCTCTCCATTCACAACAATCATTGCCTTTCCAAGAAGACAACATATGCGATGGATCATGGAAACAAAGTTTGAACTTCAAGGGGCTTCTCTCTCCTTTTCTGTACAGCTAAAGCTTGTGTTCCGACCAGAACAAAACTCTGCAGCTCCAAAGAACAATACAGCAACTAGAACAAGCATAGCACAGAAAGTTTTCCTCATAATGATGTTTTCAATATTGTATGGAAGATTACTAGTGATATTTAATTTTGCTTGTACATTAATATATAGTCCCATGGACAGGCAAATAAAACACCTTTCCCCGAAGTTACACTAAAGATAAAAGATTCCGCGTAAGTGATTTAAAGCAGCCTATTTTTGTATTTCGATCATGATCACTCGAGCACGTTCACCAAGACTTGGATGTCTTTTTGGTCGTTGTTGCTTTAAAGTCAATTTAATTGGTGCTTTCATTCTCCTTTTGCCCCACCCTAATAATAACACAGCTTTTACAGGTCTTGTGCTACTGTTGTGCAACGTGAAGACTGGATAAGTTTGAAAAATGGCTTTCAATTCTTAGAGATAACTATGGTTCGTGGAAATTTCTTCTCTTTTTACCTATCATGGAAAATTTTCGTCATCATGATTATGGTTTAAATATTGTGTGGAAGATAAGACATTTAGATGATTTTAATTTTTTTCTTTGATAACGGATGAAAACAAGAAATAAAAAGAACAAATAATCCTATGATATAAAATTTAAAAAAATAGTTCTCAACATGGTTTCCATGTCACAAGTCTCGATAAATCTGTTCATCATATTTCCGATGCATCCCCAAATCAACTTAAAAAAAAAAAAAAAAAGAAGACTACAGTGAAATAAGTTTTGGTTATTCAACTCGTTCCTTCTAAAAAAACATAGAGATCAATATATATATAT